TAAATGTGGCATCCAGCCCCGCCCTTGATCGGTATCAGCTATTGGCTGATCGTGCTGAAAGGTGAGCGCTGAGCGGCGATCAGTATCGGCCCCAAAAACACCGAACGGTCCATCTTTCAAAAATCTGTTCTGAGTGTAATGATCTTCCTTTAGAAATAATTAAAAGAATAAATTACTTCATAGTACAAAAATGCTGGATAATAAATTAATAAATACTGACCACGGCCAAGGATTCAAGTTAATCTCTCACACAGACGCTGGTCAAATGTGACCGCCGCAGGCTTTACACATCCTCACCGCGCTGACGGCACAAGCAGGCGTCAGAACGCGCCGAAAATTAGAGTGTAACAGGAAGCTGGTGAATTAGAGAGAGGATATGATGGATTACAGTCATTTTCCAGCATCGCTGGAGCAACTTAGCGGCATGTTTTCTGCTCCAGCGTCCTGATGGGCCATTAGACTGACCTGAGCGGCTCTGAGACAGAGACAAAAAATGCAAAAAATGCAAAAATAACCCAGCTACACCTGCAAGGGCTGCACATTCAGTACTCAGAGTACATAGCAAAATAAAAGTCTCAGAAAAAAGACCAAAAATAAACCAAGAGCTTCAGTATTCCGGCCTACACTCTGACCACACTCTTTAAAAAGATGGTTCCTCAAAGGTTCTTTAGTAAAGACAATGGATCTTTATAGAACCATGAACACTCAAAGGACCATTTGCATGCTTAAATGGTTGTCTGCCTGGTGAAATACTTCGAATGTGATGTATATGGTTCTATGTAGCATCAAAAAGGGTTCTTCGTACAATAGCAGAGCCCTTTTAGAGCTACACTCTTAAAAAAGACGGTTCTTTAAGGGTCCTTTAGTAAAGACAGTGGTTCTATATAGAACCATGAACACTCAAAGAACTATTTGCATGCTTAAAATGTTCTCTGGAGAATGTGTTGCATATGGTTCTATTTAGAACCGTTTTGAAAAAGGTTCTATACAACACCAAAAATGGTTCTGCAATTGTATACAAGCTTGACATTGTAGCAATAGCAGAGCCCTTTTTGGTGCTATATAGAACTCCATCAATCTGAAGAACCAATTTACCATGCAAAGAACCATCTAATCATGCAAATGGTTCTTTGAGTGTTCATGGTTCTACACAGAACAACCATCTTTTTAAGCGTGTACATTATTTGTTGCCTTATGCAGCGTCATAACACTCTGCCTCGATTTTATATTGTTTTCATGTTTTCATTCTTCAGTGTTCTCTCACTACAATACCCAGCATGCATTACACAAATACAGCACACACCAATCAGGCTCTCTGCTTTTGCCTTCCAAAAGGTGTACGTGGAAGAGAGCTGCAAAGGCACAAGAAGAGAGAAAATCTCCTTTACCTTCCATTAATTTGGGCTGATTTCAGTTAAAAAATAAAGACATCAATCCATATTGCATCACCGTACAGCCCTGTCCTCTTCTACAGATACTGGACTGTCTGTCATTTGATCCACAGCCCTGTCAATCACTTTATAGATTCAAAATAAATGCTTATCCACAAAAGTGCAGAAAATGTTGTGATGAAACCGTGACTCAAATGACTGAGCTGTAATATCTGAAATAATACAAAATGCATTATGAGTGTGTTCACTTATTAATACTACCACTATAAAGCCCCTGCTAGAAAAACCAGCATAAACCATAGCTGGTCACCAGTTAAACCAGCATGTCTTGTGTTTTGGATGCTGGTATGCTGGTTAACCAGTATGACCATGCTGGGTGACCAGCTAATCCAGCTCTAGACCAGTAAAAAACAGAATAAACCAGCTTGGAATTCACTACTACAAGCATAAAGCTTCTGCAGACATGAGACTGTGGCTTCATAATGACTCAGCTGTTAGCGTTGAAATCTGCGTCTATTAAACACAACCAGATGATAAACTGCCAGTTAATCATCACTGTTTGCTCCTAACAGACTCACTTTAACTTTTAAACACGCCATATTCTCCTTATAACTGGATATATTCTTTCCTCACTAGCAGACTGGACAGGTAGCAGGAAGCTAGGTAGCAAAGAGCTAGCTGGCTAACAGGCTAACGCTACAATAATAAAAGACAGACTTTAAGCTTTTAATTAAAACATTACTTAAAAACTGAGACATACAAAGTAAAGATTGATACTTAAATGCCTGTTATAAGCTTCAAACGTTCATAATTAAACTAGAGCTGACATAAAAATCCCAAATAGCACCGCGCTAACTTCGCTAGCCTGATGCTAATATAGCCAGTAGCTACCATTGTGAAAGTGCAAGGAGCTTTATTGCAGTGTTGGTTTAAAAACATAGTTCTACACCAGACATTGCTGTGAAAATGGAACACTTTATGGTTCTCTGTATCTGAATCTCAGTGTAAACACAATTACACCGTTTAAATGAAATGACTTTATTAGCGTGAATAATTGGTGTAACGTTAGGCTGTAAACAGGATCCTCTGAATAAAGTCAGGTGTGTACCAGGGTTGACAGATCTGCTGAGAGAAACAACCAGGTCTATGGAAACAAGCCCAAAAGAAGCAACTTAGCTCATAAAAAAGCCCCAAACAGGCAACTTTACCACAGTATGTGAGATAGACACCACTGGATAAACAAATATATGTGTGTGTGTGTGTATATATATATATATATATATATATATATATATACACACACACACATGTTATTTTGCATTAATAAGCATACATTTAAAAAATACTGTAATTTGTAATTTTACATTTTTCTTGAACAAAACCCACTGGCTGACAAAAAATGAGGAATGAATAAACAGCTGAATGAAAAAATGAAAATGAAAGTAAAGATGTTGCACATAATGAACTGGCAAAGTAATCCTATCAGTGAAGGCAAAAAAAGATATGTTTTAAAAAATTACATAGCCTACTGGGCCTTTGACTGGCCATCTCAATTAATGTATGGAAAAAATTGTCTCTTGTCCTCCTTGTCTTGTCATCAACTCTGTATTTTTTGTTATTATTGTTGTTTTTTTTTCCTATTTCACCCACATAATCCCTGACACTGTTAATGAAATAGCTAAAGAAACTCCATCATGGTGCGATTTTGATTTGTTTTGATGTGTATGGGGAAGGGGAGCAGGGAACAGGGTTGGGGACAAACCCGCAGTTTGGTTTTATTAGACAGGTATAGTGGAGAGAGACCGGGTTAGGAGCCCACAAGCAACTATACTTTAGAAACAAGCCCACAAAACACAATCCATGACTACCAATATTTATAAGCGACTTTCAGAAAAATACGGCCTAAGTCACTTATAATAAACAGACTTGGCAACAGTGGTGTGGGGGTGGTGTGGCATCACAATGCTGGCTTAACATTGTGATATCTGTCAGCCATCAACGTCGGACGACGGCATCATCTACCAGCCCAACCCTACCAGCACTAAAAGCTTTGATATGAGCTCTTGTAGTCATTCTGTAGCAAATTCATTACCACGAGGGTTTAAAATCCCTTCAGAGAGCAGAACAAAGCAACAAGATTCAGTTCAGAGTCGTGTAGCTTCTAATATGTAATGAAGTCTGTTGCTGCAATCCATGTTCACAAGTTGTGATAAAAGTTCTGTGGTAAGAGAAGTCTTTACGCTAGAAGGAGGTTCCTTAATAATCTCTAATAGAATCTCTATGAAAAGACCCAGCATGACCGCAGAAACGGTGATCTGAGTCAGAGTCACTGCAAAGAAATGCCTCAAGCTTCAATAGATACTTGCATTGTGCTGAAAATCATGCAGGAGCAACCAACAGGCACACCTGGACACCTCTGAGGGTTTTCAGGCATTAATTATCTGTCAATGATAATGCAAGGCAATCATGTATAACATGTGAACAGTAAACAAAGTCCAGCTGAGCTATTTCACCATCACAACATACCAGTTACACACTGTCCCCTTTATTCACTGCCAATTCCAGCCACTTTATTAGAAACACCAACCTTGTGATTCCAAGAACTGGACACTTTATTGCGAACACCAACCTTGTCCTTCCACTCACTGGCCACTTTATTAGAAACACCAACCTTGTGTGTCCACTAACTGGCCACCCTATTAGAAACACCAATATTGTGATTCCACTCACTGGCCACTTTTTTGGAAACACCAACCTTGTACTTCTACTCACTGGCCAATTTATTAGAAACACCAACCTTGTGTGTCCACTAACCGGCCACTTTATTAGAAACACCCACCTTGTGCTTCTACTAACTGGCCACTTTATGGCAAACACCAACCTTGTACTTCCAATCACTGGCCACTTTATTAGAAACCCTAGTCTTGCTTTTCCACTCACTGGCCACTTTATGGTAAACACCAACCTTGTACTTCCACTAACCGTCCACTTTATTAGAAACCCTAGTCTTGCTTTTCCACTCACTGGCCACTTTATGGTAAACACCAACCTTGTACTTCCACTAACTGGCCACTTTACTGGAAACACCAACCTTGTACTTCCACTAACTGGCCACTTTCTTGGAAACACCATCCCTGTACATCTGTTGCAGCACAATCTATCAGCCCCCACCCCCCATTCAGGACCGCTGCTGTCCAGATGTTATTCAGGTGGTGGACCATCCTCAACCAGCCTGATGTGCTACAGTCTTAGCAAGGTGGAGCTACCAGGGAGGGGTTTCAGATAAAATGGCCAGCTAAGTGTACTGCACTCGGCCTGCTGAGCTGCAGTGAAAGCCGCAGTGAAGACCACAATGTGGACCAGCAGACATCTAGTGCTACATTTTCCAGCTTGTGCTGCAACAGCACCCACTTGCACACGTCCGGCAGGCTCAGCTCACCACCGCGCTCTGAAGGTGGCAGTGATGCAGCTGCTGCTGCCCCCCCTCCCCACCTCCACCACCCCCGGTATCTCCTGAACACGTTTCAGCCATCATCCCAACCGTAGCACCCATGCACACCCATGCACTGCTGCTGCTGCTCATGATGATGAGGATGATGATGCACCTACTCGCTTTGCCTGGTTTGGGTCTCTGCAGGATCTTCTGCACGGTGAGCAGATCCTCGGTCTTCACGGCCTGAAGCAGCTCCTGATCCTTCCCCATCCTTCAGCACAGCTTCATCACATCCACAGCATCCTCTGCGCGGGGGGGTGGAGGTGGTGTGTGTGTGTGTGTGGGAGTGTGTGTGTGTGATGCTGCTGAAATCCAGGGAGCCCTTTTGCAGCGAGACGGTTACACCGAGCACGATTTCAGGCTCTGAAAATGACCAAAAGCATCAGATTCTAGGCTGCAGCTTCGCAATCAGCGCGCGAGAGAGATTCCCAAAGCGATCCGTGCATTTTTCCTTCATTTATTGTTTTTTTATCATTATTTTTTAGTCCACGGTCTCTTCTAGAAGCTGGAAAATCGCGACGCTGACGAAGCTGTAAGACGAAAACAAAAGCGAAAAAACGAAAACGCTCGACACGCGCAGACAGGAGCGAAAAGGAGGAAACAAAAGAGCAAAAAATAATAAAATAAACGTGTTTTTTCTCGTTAAGTGCCGAGGCGTGGCGGCGGTGCGCTGCCTGCTGCCATAGCTGCGCCTGATGTGTGTGTGTGTGTGTGTGTTTTTTACTAGCGTCTCGGAACAGCGTGCAAGAGCCCACCCGTATTCGGACAGGCCACGCCCACCTGCGCTGCGATTGGTCATGCTTCACAATTGGTCCTCTTTATTTGCTGACAGATCTGCATACAGAGCAGATATAAAACCCGAAGATGTGATCATGGTTTTAATTGCTGTGTTTAAATTTTACACTTATTTTTTGCTAAATATCTTTTACACACAGCAACATTTAGCACCTGTGAACTGTCTCATTAATTTAATTAATCTTAAATCTCTTAGCAACAACAACAAAAAAAGTTTGTCAACGTTTGTTTTTTTTTATTTTGTTCATTTATTGTTGTTGACTACTTATGAGATTAGTTCATCTTTAGTATGGATGAATTTGAAGATAAGTTTAGATAAAAAAAATATAAAACGTATTTGATAACAAAATGGGAAAAAGTAAAGAAAAGCAAATTCTGTAATAATAATAATAATAATAATAATAATAATAATAAATATATAAACAATCGATATATATACACTCTTAAAAAGATCATTCTTCAGACTGATGGAGAACATATGCGCATACAATATATGGCCAAAAGTATTGGGACACCCCTCCTAATTATTGAGTTTAGGTGTTTCAGCCACACCCATTGCTAACAGGTGTATAAAATCAAGCACATAGTCTTACAGTCTCCATAGACAAACACTGGCAGTAGAGGGTCGAACTGAAGAGCTCAGTGACTTTAAACATGGCTCTGTTATAGGATGCCGCCTTTATCACAAGTCAGTTTGTGAAGTTTCTGTCCTGCTAGATCTGCCCCAGACAACTGCAAGTGTTCTTACTGTCAAATGAAGCAACAACATCTCAGCCTCAAAGCGGTAGATCGCACTAACTCACAGAGTGGGGCTGCCGAGTATCATACCATGTAAAAGTCGCCCATCCTCTGTTGCGTTACTCACTACAGAGCTCCAAACTGCCTCTGGAAGCAACATCAGCACAAGAACTGAGCGTCAGACGCTTCATGAAATGGGTCTCCATGACTGAGCAGCTGCACACAAGCCTAAGATCACTATGTGCAATGCCAAGTGTCGGCTGGAGGGGTGTAAAGCGCTGCCGCTGGACTCATATAGGTGTGATGGTCAGATGTCCACATAGTTTTGGCCACATAGAGTATATCTGTGTGTGTGTATATATATATATATATAATATATATATATATATATATATACACACACACATATATATATATACACACAGATATATATATATATATACACACAGATATATATATATATATATACACACACACACACATATATATGCAAATATACTTTGAAAACTGTATATGTCTATACATAAGTATATATATACATAAATATATATATATATATATGTACACACTGACACATCAGCACATTGTGTATATCTTACATATTTAAAACCACAACAAGCATTAAAGACATATAATATACAATCAAATATTTGAATGTAGTATATTTATTTTTATTATTCTTTTTACCTCTTGACAATTAATAGTTATAATAAAAAAAGAGAGAAATAAAAAAGAAAAACCGAGAGAAAACGCTAATACGACGTTAGCCCCGCCCCCTGTGCGCTGTGATTGGCTGGTACAGTTTGTACTCTCCGTTCTAAAACGCTTCGCCTCGCGCACTAGAATTCCACACATCAGAAACAAATACACAGCGGTCTAGAATGGCGGGACGCTTGTGATGTCATTAGCCAATCACGGCGCAGGAGGGGCGGGCTTTGACGGAATACGGGTGGGAAATAAAAAAAAACGCCACAGCTACTGCGGTGTGGAAAACATCAGATTCTCTGAGCTCAGCTGAGCAGCGTTTCACATAAATCAGACTGTTTACATTCTCTGACTAATATGGAATAATTTACTGACTGTAACTGACTGTAAATATGAAGTGGAGATGAAATACATATTTAACAGTTTATTTACTTAGGTGTCATGCATTGCAATGTTTTATGGATTATTTTCATTTATTTAGTTGATTCTTTTTGTGAATTTGGTCAGCAGAACAAAAACTCACTGTTTTTACGTCAGTTAAGGTCAGAAGAGGAGCTGCGTATGAACTCCATTCAGGTCAATGTGAGCACAAAAAAGCAGCTGTTTTAGGAATAAGCAGGAAAAACAGATCTGCAGGGAAATTTATCACAGAGAGAGAAAAAGGCCAAATCTGTACACCTTAAAAATCAGCCATAATGTTAAAAATACCTCCTTGTTTCTACTCTCACTGACCACTTTATCAGCTCCACTGACCACATAGATTCACTCTGTAGTTCTACAGTTACAGACTGTAGTCCATCTGTTTCTCTGCATACTCTGTTACCCTGTTCTTCAGTGGTCAGGACCCCCATGGACCCTCACAGAGCAGGTACTATTTGGGTGGTGGGTCATTCTCAGCACTGCAGTAACACTGTGTTAGTGTGTGTTGTGCTGGTCTGAGTGGATCAGACACAGCAGTGCTGCTGGAGTTTTTAAACACCTCAGTGTCACTGCTGGACTGAGAATAGTCCACCAACCAAAAATATCCAGCCAACAGCGTCCTGTGGGCAGCGTCCTGTGACCACTGATGAAGCACTAGAGGATGACCAACACAAACTGTGCAGCAGCAGATGAGCTATCGTCTCTGACTTTACATCTACAAGGTGGACTGACAAGGTAGGAGTGTCTAACAGAGTGGACAGTGAGTGGACACAGTGTTATAAATTAATATTAAATATTAATGCGGCCTGATTTATGTGAATTCTCTGATATGGGCTTCATTCTTCATCTTCCTCCATCATCATCATCTTCATCATCTTCTTCTTCTTGCTTTGCTCTTCATCTTTTTTGTCATCTATTTCTTGTTTATTTTGTCTTCCTCCTCTTCTTCCTCATCATCTTCATCATCATCATCTCCTCTCATGTCCCTCCTCGTCTTCTTCTTCTTCTTCCATTTATTTTCTTCCTCTTTCTCTTCTTCATCACTTTAGGTTGTTCTTCTCTTCTTCATTTGTTTTGTTATATATTTAATGCTGTTCTTCATTTTCTTTGTCTTCTTTCTCTTCATCATCATCATCATCATCATCATTTTCTTCTTCTGCTCTTCCTCCTTTTCTACCCCTTCATTTTCTCTCTTCTTTTTTCTTCATCATCGCCATCATCATCCTCATCTTTTTCTCTTCTTCTACCTTTCCTTTCCTTTCTCTTTTTCTCCTCCATCATCTTCATCATCATCTTCTTCTCCTCTGAAAAGGAAAAAAGGGTAGAAGAGGTTCTTTCTTCATCATCATCATCATCATCATCATCTTCTCCTCCTCCTCCTCCTCTTCATTTTCTTTCTCTTCCTCTTCGTCCATTCTGATCTCTCTGCTGTGATTTCTTGTACAGAGCTGTCGTTCAGTTGATTGATTGAGTTCTGGTTCTATAAAAGACGTTTATTTTAGATAGAAACACATTTTCACCGTTTATACTGATAATCCGTATTAATTAGTTCTGATTAGTGAAAAACTTTTTGAACACTAATAAAATTATTCGATGTTTCGACTTAAAGTAAATTAACTGACAGCCATCGTTTTCGTTTACATTACAGAGCTGTATTAAGTTATCAGGCTTTTTGTGTTTTTCACTATTTGAGCTTCAATTAACTTGAATGTGAAGTCAGTAAATGTTTGTTTTATCAGCTGTTCTTCTGTAGAGTCTCTGTTCTAGTGCGGTTCTGCGCTCTTCCTCACATTAACTGAGATCTTCCTCGTCTCCTCTTCTGTAAAGTCTCTGTTCTAGTGCGGTTCTGCGCTCTTCCTCACAGTAACTGAGATCTTCCTCGTCTCCTCTTCTGTCTTCAGTGTGAGAAATGAGGAACAGTCACTCTTCACTCCAAACTCTTGGGAAACTGGGCGAGTTTTCAGATTTACAGATCTGCTGCAGCTCATTGTAAAGTTTTTCAGAGGAATCCGGGCAGAGTTACAGTTTCTAGGCTATGAAGGACCAACTGGGTGAACCAGTCTGCTACAGCGCCACCCTGAGGCAGAGCAGTGTTGCAGCTCTAGTTAGTTAAGAACACCAGAGACAGAAGCTGATTGTGGGGTGAAGCAGATAAACAATCAGCTTCACTGAATCTGGATTTGAGGGTCTGTTTTTCTCTAACAGACAGCGGGACGTCATAATGAGTTTATTTTCAGAGACCCACACAAAATCTTGATTTTGAAACCTTCAGGGGGTCCAAGAGGTTCATTAGGGGGCCCTGGACCTTGTCCTGTGTCTCATTCTACACTGATGTCACAGTATTTATATGTGCTGCTCAATTCTTTTCACTGTACTTACTGTATTTATGTACTTCATATAGCTTTGGGTTTTTATTTATCTTCCATTATTCAGTTCTAGTTTATTATTGCTTACTTTCACCTACTTAGTATTTATATAGAGTTTGTTTGTTCATGAATCTTTATATTACTTACAGATTGTTTATGTACTTTCTATTTTATGTTTATATAAAGTATATATTTTTATATTATTTGAAGTATTTAATTTTATGTTGACATCACATTTCTGCACATTGAGTGGGTGATCAGAGGGGGAGGAGGTTCAGGCGACACCTAGTGGAGAGAAATGAGAAGCACGGTTTTCAGCTGTGCGGTCCTCTGGCGCCCTCTAGCGCTGGTTAATAAATTGAGCGCTACAGAAACAAATAATTTCGGTCTTGATTTGTTTATGTAAACTACCTGCAGCTAAGAGTCTCTTTCCGGCGCAGAATATTTAGAGTTTATGATTGAAAACCATTAAATATCACTATCATAGGCATGTTAAACTTGAATTAATTTATTCTATTAAAGATCAAAAATAACAGTATATATCAGCATGGCTGGTCACCAGCAAAGCCAGCAAATGTTGTGTTTTGGATGCTGGTATGCTGATCAACCAGCATGACCATGTTGGGTGACCAGTTAAACCAGCAATAGACCAGCATAAACCAGTTTAGACCAGCATGGTGCTGTTTTCATTTTAAATAGTCATTTTATTTATTATCTCATCTTCATACGCAATTTATTTTGTGAGTCTTTAATCAGAATGTGTTATTATTGCATTATCAGTTCCAGTTCCGTCCGTTTCTCACCCTGGTCAGACTAGACCGCATTCATGTGAGCAAAATCTCATATTAACACTGTTCTGTCACTTTCACACATGCGTTACAGTATGAGATTTAAGTTATATGAATCAAGTATAGAATTATGTCACCATAAACATTTTACTGCTCAGGCGTCAAGCTTTAAAGGGAAACTCCACCAATTTTTCAAAAATTCTATATAATGAAAGACATAAACAGAGTGGTTCAGAGTGGTTTGGTGTAAAACGCTCTGTTCTAGAGAAACTTACCAAGTCAGAATCTGTTCACACCCTCACAGAAAGTTACTACCTGAAATGGTTATGAATTCACTGCCTGATGACTGAGACACTGTTTTATGATAGTTCTGAGAACTTAAACTCCATACATGGTGGAGGGATACATGCAGGGCGCTGTGAGGCAAAATAGTCCCCAAAGAAAACTTACTATTTCAGGTTTTCCACTATTTTCCATCATCAACATTCCATATAAACTCAGAAGACTCGTGTAGGTTCACTGGTGGTTCTGGATAGTAAATAAAATGTCTATATGTGTGTTGTAGTCATGGCGACCCCTGGTTCCTATCAGCACCACTGTAAAGACATCTGAACCATTTCACGCCAAACCACTCTGAATCTCTCCGTTTACACCTCACACACTGAATTATGGGGAATTTTGAAAAATGTGTGAAATTCCCCTTTAACAAGGAGGAGAAATTTATTTCTGACCAGAAAAGCAGAAGTGTCATCATGTGTAATAACTATGTTATAACAAACATACACTTGGTTTGATTTTTTAACCACTGTAAACCTAATAGTGAATGTCTTGATGCTCGTTAAAACTTAAAATGCATACTGATCAGTGAAGTATTATGATCAAACGCCAAAAATAATGTAATGACCGAGTAATGATCCAATCACAAAAAAGGATTCGTTGTTTGTTATGAGAAATACTCATAAAAGCAAATATGGGATCACTTTCACCCACAGAATCAGCTAAAGTCAAAGTATAAGCTAATAAGAGACTTTTATTTTGGAATTTAGAAAACGTTTTAGTGATGTATGGACGTAATCAATAACCTTTTCGTTTGTATTATTATTATTATTATTATTTGTTTTAGCATTGTTTAATGTTCTCACTTTCCCGCTACAAAGAATCTTTTCCAGTATTAATTTGATAACTAAGGAAATAAAATCTGTTTTCAGATCAGAATCAGATCTTCTTTTCCCCACCTGTCTTCCGACAGAGTCCGCCCCTTTAAAGCCGGGATTGGCTAGTAGTTCATACTCACAAGCCAATCGAACCATTCTAGAACGAAGAATGTGCGATCTCAGCCAATCCCAGCGCAGGAAAGGCGGGGTTTGACCGAAAATTGGTGGAAAAACACAGCCGCCTCGTTTCGTGAGGGGGCGGGACGGCAGAGTAAGCCTGGCTCTCTGATTGGCTAGAAAGGAGAGCGCCTCGTTCGTGATTGGTCATCGCTTTGCTATCAAAGCGCTAGCCCTCGCGCTCGGGCCGTTACTGTTGTCGTAGCTTCAGTGGAGTTAGCATGAAAAAGGGGAAACTTTTCTGAGGTAAAAAATCTCATATTATACAAATTATTTTGCTGTTTGTGCGTTAATGTCATCTAACGTGCCCATCTGTTCGGATTTAGCCTGTCAAAGTCGAATATGTTGAATATTTAGAGCTGAAATCTTAACGAGTAGTGAGAAAAAAACTTGTTGGAATTTTCCCGTTCGACCTTAAATGGTGAAGCAGTAAGAGTCTAGTGCTTCAGGCGGCAGAATGTAACTGTTGCTCCATTTAAGGTGGAACGGGGAAATTCGAACAAGAAGCTGGCGAATAGGAAGCCAACTTCAGCCTCGTAGAAGTGAGTGAGTTTTTAGCTAACTAACTACAGAACCACATTCATCCTCACATAGTTTCTCCTTTTAAAACGGGTTTAAGTGGTAAAAATCTGGAGGGTTTCGTGGTGGATGTTGTTTGTGAACGGGTTTTTATCACTTCTGTGTTTTTAGGGAAGTTTTTTGTCTCTTTTTAAGCGAGTATGAACATGTTGGTGTTGTGCAAGCAGCTCTGTTTTTGCTCATGAGGAGCTAACTGATAATAACGGGCTGTCAGTGGAAGGAAAAATGCGGTTTTATAGCAAAAATATCTTTATCTGCCTGTTAATCTGTCTGTGTGCCCAGTGTCTGTCTGTATACATCAGTCTCCACTCGGGATTGGATGATTACAGTCCTAATTTACATAATTAATTTGGCATAGTGGGTAAGTGGGAGAAAAACATTTTATACAGACCTAAAAAGAACGGTTCGTTTTAGAGCCACGAGTTATATATAACCTAGAACCATTTGATGCTCAGGCCTAAGTGCTTGACATCGTAACAATAGAAGAACCAATTTTAGTGCCTTTACTAAAGAATTATTGTGTAGCAGAACCCTTTTGGTGCTATATAGAACCATTTTTAAAAAGGTTCTGTATGGAACCAAGTACAACACATTCTCCGTCAAACTAACGAACCATTTCACCATGCAGAGAACAATTTAAGCACGCAGATGGATCTTCATAGAACTCTTGGTTGCTTTTACTAAAGAACCATTGAAAAACCATCATTTTTTAAGAGTGAATAGCAGAACCCTTTTTAGGTACTACGTTTTCAAAAAGCTTCTTAATAGAACCGCACGCAACACATTTCACCATGCAGAGAACCATTTAAGCATGAAATGAACTTGTGGTTCTTGAGCAACTTGTGTTGCCTTTGCTAAGAACCCTTGAAGAATTATTTTTTAACAGTGAATAGCAGAACCTTTTTTGGTGCTATGCATGCCTGTGCTAAGCAGGCAGAGGTTTCTATACAGAACTCACGGTTCTAAATAGATCCATTGCCCTTACTAAAGAACCCTTGAGGAACCATCTTATTTAGTGTGTACCAAACAAACCTGTCTATCTGTCTGTTTATGTTATCAGCCTTAGAGGGCAGAGGTAACACTGGGGGCAGTGAGGCCTGTGGGTTTGTGTTGTTTTTGTTTTGTCATTTGTTTGTCTGATGTAGGACACTTTCATTTTCATTCACGTGCCTCAGCTTTGACCGTCAGCTCAGGCATCCGCACCTGTGGCGAGGTGAGTGTGTCAGAGGTCATGAAGGTGCTCCTGGCTTTAACCAGAGATGACCAGGAAAAATGCCCGCCATTCTGAAAATGAAAAACAGCTTGAGCTGGAATTCCCAGTGTCGTCGTTTGGCGGGGGCTCGTTGCTCTGAATCTAGGTCAGCGGCCGTCGTCCCCTCTGCGAGGCGGCTTCTCACAGTTTTGGGAACCCGTTCAGCTGGACCAGAGCTGGACCGATTAATTGCTTGAGTTAATGCTCTCTCTTTGCAGATTACTGGCCTGGAGCTGCTGGAGCACGAAAAGAAACCCCTCGCTGCTAACCAGGGGGATTAGAGTAGGACTAGCACAGACAACCACTCCCTTTCCCTGGACCACAGTCAGTTTCACTGTTTGTAAACTGTCGCATTTCACAAAAACTAGCATATCTTATCTTACCCAGCGTACGTCTCAGTGAAAAAGAAAAGAAAATGTAGTACTTAACAATACACACTGGTTATAGAAGACTTAGGAGTGTTTAGTGGCATTTAACAAAACACTGGATTTAGAAGGCTTAGCCATGATGGTGTTTAAAAATACAAATTAGTTATAGAAGGTCAAACAGTGTTGGAAAGCATTTAGCAATACACACTGGTTATAGAAGGGCTAGCAGTGTCGGATGGCATTTAGCAATACACACTGGTTATAGAAGGGCTAGCAGTGTCGGATGGCATTTAGCAATACACACTGGTTATAGAAGGGCTAGCACTGTTGGATGGCATTTAGCAATACACACTGGTTATAGAACGGCTAGCAGTGTCGGCTGGCATTTAGCAATACACACTGGTTATAGAAGGGCTAGCAGTGTCGGATGGCATTTAGCAATACACACTGGTTATAGAAGGGCTAGCAGTGTCGGATGGCATTTAGCAATACACACTGGTTATAGAAGGGCTAGCATTGCTGGGTGGCATTTAACAATACACACTGGTTATAGAAGGCCTAGCAGTGTCGGCTGGCATTTAGCAATACAGATTGGTTATAGAAGGGCTAGCAATGTCGGATGGCCTTTAAGAATACACACTGGTTATAGAAGACTTAGTAGTGTTGTATCACATTTAACAATACACACTGGTTATAGAAGGGCTAGCAGTGTTGGATGGCATTTAACAATACACACGGGCTGTGTAAGGCCTGATCATGATGGATGCATTTTAAAAATACACACCGGTTGTAGGAGGCCATACAGTGTTGGATGCAATATAGCAATACACACTGGCTTTAGAAGGCCTGGCTACGATCAAGGCATTTAACAATACACACTGGTTGTAGATCTCTTAGCTTCGATGGAGGCATTTAGCAATACACACCGGTTATAGAAGGCCTAGCACTTGTTGATGGCATCTACAATACACAATGGTTATAGGTGGCCTGTTGGTATTGGGTGGCATGTAACAAGACACATACTGGCAAAGGAGTGTTTGGTGGCGTTTAACAGTACGCACTGGTTACAGAAGGCTTAGTGGTGTTTGGTGACGGTAATACGTACTGGTTATAGAAGGACCAGTGTTCCGTAACAATACACACTGGTTGCGGAAGGCTTAGCAGTGTTCACTGACATTTAGTAATACACGCTGGTTATCAAAAGCTTAGCATTGTTGGATTGCATTTGACAATACATACTAGCTATAGAACATCTAGCAATGTTCATAGGCATTTAACAATGCACACCAACTGAGAGAGCCTAGTAGACATTGGTGGCATTTAACAGTACACACCGGTTGTAAAAGATCTAGCAGTGTTGAATTGCATGTAGCAATATACACTGTTTTTAAAAGACCTAGTAGTGTTGGATGGCATGTAACAATGCACACTGGCTATAGAACGCCCAGCAGTGTTAATTGACAGTTAACAATACATACTGGTTATGGAAGATCCAGCAGTTCGACTGGCTTTTAACAGTATACACTGGTTATTGAAGGCCTAGCGGTATTGGATGGCTTTTAACAATACACACAGGCTATAAAAAGCCTAGCGGTGTCTCCACTTGTTTCAGTCTGACCAGTCAGAAATAATTTGTATTAAATTACAGCATGCTTCTGTTATCTGGGTTAAATGTATTTATAGGGTTGAACATTAAAATTCATAACAGATTATTATTTAAAATACTGGCCTGAGTTGAGTAGCATATATTAGTGTATGTGTATAAAATCTGTGTTGATGGTGAACTTTATAAATGCCTAAAAGATGGAAAAGAAAGCATTACCAATTTTTTTTTGAAAAGCTCGCTTCTGTTTCAAAGGTTTCAAAGCATCTTACGTCATCTCGGTTTAGTAGTAGTACTTAAACTTCTGTCATCAGACATTAGAACTCCACTCCGCCATCGTAACCTTGTTTATTTAATGTCAATGTTTGTTACTTCTATTGAGATTGTGTATGTGTTGTGTAGGAGTGTATATTGATTGCCTATTGTGTTGTGTGTGTGTGTGTGTGTGTGTGTGTGTGTGTGTGTGTGTTTGAGCAGCACCAAAAGAAATTCCTCTCAGTCAAGTACCGACTGATATGGCAATAAAGTACTGAGACTTACTGATGTCAGGTAAACGCTTGGCTTAAAAGGCAGAAATCGGTCTCTGTTGGCAGAGATGCTGAGGCAGATCCGGTGCGGTTGCCTGGGTAATGGTAAAGTCCGATCTGGGTTAGGGTGTTTAGTCATAACCAGAACTGATTGCTTCATCCTGTTAGCGGTGACAAAAAACTGGAAACGGACACTGATAACACTGTTCTAGTGCTGCTATGATTCAGCACACTCACATCCTCTCTCAGGTACCTTCTGAAAGATGGTTCAGGGCACATATCTCCTCTATACATACCATTAAAGGAAAAGTTCAACAACGAAAAAAAAAATTGCAGTTCTGCCTTTAGCCTAAACGTAGTCAGTCAGTGAAGGTATAGACTTGCTTGTGGGATTTCACTCTGTGACACCTTCTTATCTGTAAATGTGGGCTAAAGTACCACATTCACACTTCAAGACGGCTGCTACTGTTTTAGCTACGCTAATGTACTTTAGTCTGTGTTTAGAGTAGGGTTTGCACAGATTAATCAACTTTACTGCTCAGCGATGAGGCTTTGATGTCGACTAGTTGCTGAACAGTGATTATGACGCTAACGTCTGGACGTCTAAGAGAAGACAGCAGGTGAGGAGTCTGGTGATTTCGGGGTGTGTATTTCTGGTTTTCTGAAGGCTAGCAATGTGAAACGGGGCTTATTGGAAAGTGCACGTCACACTCTGCTGACCTGTTGCTGTCATTCTAACATGTTTTTCACAGATCTACACAGCTTCAAACATCAGATATTGATCGTCGTTATCTCCGGTTTCGTTGGAAAGGGCACGTCACGCTCTATTACCAAGTGTCGCAGATGTTTTAAAGTCGCTTGTTGAAAAGCGTTCACTTCACCTGTGGGTTTATTCATGACATCATCAGCAATTAGTC